CCAAACCAGACCCATTGCTGTCGATTAACAACCCTATAAGACGGAGTAGAGCTGTTCCACAGGATTTCCAAGGCTGTAATCTTTACAGAAGCAAACTGCCACATCTTTCTCCTGGGGAGCGGCTGGTGGGCTCAGATCACCGCCAGAGCTCCTAATTGGACATCCATAGGCCAAAAAAATGAACCTCTACCTAAAATTCACACCATATACCAAAATTAACTCGATGTCATCAACTTAAATATAAAATTATAAAACTTTTAGAAGAAAACATAGGAAATCTTTGGGACCTAGGACTAGGTGAAAAGTTCTTAGACATGACACCAAAAGTATAATCCATAAAAGAAAAAAAATCAATAAATTAGACTTCAACAAAATTAAAAACTTTTACTCTACAGAAGACCCTGTACAAAGAATGAAAAGACAAGCTCTACAGACTTGTATTTCAATATTTGGGAGAAAATATTTGCAGACTACATATCTGACAACAGACACGTATATAAAGAACTTTCAAAATTCAACAGTAAAAGAAAAAGCAAACAATCCAATTAGAAAATAGGTAAAAGACATGAACAGACATTTCATCAGGAGGATACATGGATGACAAGTAAGCACATGAAAAGATGTTCAGCATCATTAGCTGTTGGGGAAATACAAATTAAATGATGATGAGATGTTACTACATGCCCATTACAACAGCTAAAATAAAAAATAGTGACAACACCAAATGCTGGGGACATGGCAAAGAAGCTGGATCTCTCATACATTGCTAGTGGGAGTGTAAAGTGATACAGCCACTGTGGAAAAGTTTGGCAGTGTCTTATAAAGGGTCACTTACCGTATGACCTAGCAATAATATTCCTAATGTCCTAGAGAAATAAAAACTTAAGTCCATACAAAAACCTGTGTATAAAAGTTCATGGGAGCTAGCTTTATTTGTAATAGCAAAATACTGGAAACAACTCAACTGTCCTTCAACAGGTGAATGTTTAAACAAGCGGTGGTGCCTCATACCATAGAACACTACTTAGCAATAAAAAGGAACAGGCTAGTGATACACGAACCAACCTGAGATGGATCTCAGGGGCATTATACTGAACAAAGCCAGTTTCCAAAGGTCTCATACTACATGATTCCATTTATGTAACACTCTGGAAATGACAGAATTTTAGAAATGGAAAGCAGATTAATGGGCAAGGTTAGGTATTGATGGAAACTGAGGGGAGAGGGGGGCTGCAACCATAAAGTGGTAGAGCATGAAGATGTTCCCTATGGTGATGGAACAGGTCTCTATCTTATTTGTGGTGGTGGTTATACAAATCTGTACATGTGATAAAATTGCAGAGAATTGTACATACACACTCACACACACATACATGAGTGCATGTAAAAACTGATGAAACTTGAATAAGTTCTGTAGATTGCACCTATGTCAATTTCCTGGTTTTACTCATTGTACTATAGTTAATATAAAATGTTACTGTTGGGGAAAGCTGTATTTTTACAGCTTCCTGTGAGCCTGTAATTATTTCAAAATTAGAAGCTTTTAAAAAGTTTGCTGGGTAGGGGGACAGAGGAATGAAGTGTTAGCTGGAGGGGGTGTGGGGTTGAGGGTTTTTTTTTGTTGTTTCACTTTTTATTTTTTTAATGAAATACTAAAACATGTTTGTATGCTGATGAAAATGATCCATAAAAGATGAAGAAATTGGTGATGCAAATGATAGGGGATAATTACAGGAGCAAAATACATCCTCAACTTTTGGTTTGAAGGCATTAAAAAAATAATGGTACCTATACCTCACACCATACACAAAAACTAACTTGAAATGGATCAAAGATCTAAATGTTAAACCTAAAACTGTAAAGTTTCTTGGAGGAAAACATAGGGACAAAACTATGGGGCCTAATTTAAAAAGTATATCAAACAGAACTATAAAGGCATGAACAACAGAAGACAAATTAGATAATTGGAACCTCATAAAAATGAATACTTATGCTCATCAAAAGACTTTATCGACAGAGTAAAAAGATAACCTACAGAGTGGGAAAAAAATCTGCAGGAAGGACATGTCCAATAAGGGTCTGATCTCTAAAATATGTAGATAACCTCAGTAGCTCAACAACAAAAAGACAACCCAATTAAAAAATGGGCAAAGGTCATGAACAGACGCTTCATCAAAGAGGACATTCAAGCAGCCAAAAAACAAGTGAAAAAATGCTCGCAATCATTAGCCATCTGAGAGAAGCAAACCAAAACTACAATGAGATACCGTCTCACCCCTGCTAAAATGGCACTGATCGAAACAAAACAGAAAACAACGAATGCTGGAAAGGATATGGGGAGATTAGAACCCTTATCCACTGCTGTTGGGATTGTAAAATTGTACAACCACATGGAAGACAATATGGTGTTTCTTGAAAAAACAAGAAATAGAACTACCTTATGGTCCAGCAGTCCCCCTCCTAGGAATGCACCCTAAAGATCTAACAGAAGAGACACAAACAATGTGCACACCTATGTTCATTGCAGCACTATTCACAATAGCAAAAAAATGGAAACAACCAACTGCCCAACAACTGATGAATGGATAAGCAAAATGTGGTACATACATACAGTGGAATACTACACAGCCACAAAGAATAATGATGAGTTCTTGAAACAGTTTTAATTTAATTTGTTTTTTATTGTACTCTAGATGAAGGTTTACAGCGAAAATTAGTTTCTCATTAAACAGTTAATACACATTGTTTTGTAACATTGGTTGCCAACCCCACGACGTGTCAACACTCACCCCTTCTCGACCTTGGGTTCCCCATTACCAGCTTTCCTGTCCCTCTTGCCTTCTCGTCCTTGCCCTTGGGCTGGTTTGCCCATTAAGTCTGGTTTTATGGGCCTATCTAATCTTTGACTGAAGGGAGTGACTTCAGTACTGAGTTAAAAGGGTTCCTAGGGGCCATGCTCTCGGGGTTTCTCCAGTCTCTGTCAGACCAGTAAGTCTGGTCTTGCTTTGTGAGTTAGAATTTTGTTCTACACTTTTTCTCCCACTCTGTCCTGGACCCTCTATTGTGATCTCTGTCAGAGCAGTCGGTGGTGGTAGCTGGGCACCACCTAGTTGTGCTGGACTCGGTCTGGTGGAGGCCGTGGTAGTTGTGGTCCATTAGTCCTTTGGACTAATCTTTCCCTTGTGTCTGTGGTTTTCTTCATTCTCCCTTGCTCCAGATTGGTGGGACCAATGGAGTATCTTAGATGGCCACTTGAACCATCTTACAACAAGGATGAATCCAGAGGACATTATGCTGAGTGAAATAAGTCAATCACAAAAGGACAAGTATCGTATGATCTCACTTTTATAAAAAGACAAGAATAGGTATACAATACAGAAACCAACGTTCATTGGTGGTTACCAGGGATGTGTTGTGGGGGTGAGGGAGAAATCACTCCCTAGATAGTAGACACTTGTTATTTTTGATGATGAGAAGGGTAACACCAAATGTGGGTGAAGTACACACAGCTTTAACAAGGTAAATGATGTCATTAAGAAGTATACAAGAAAAAAGGACATTTTTGGTAAATACTATCACATACATAATTTTGCAACAACAACCAAAAAATATACGTGTGCTTGTATACGTACATATATTTGTGTGCATATATAGGTGTATCTGTATGTGTATGCATGCATATATATTCATATATATAGTAAAGCACATAACAGCACAGTTACAGATACTTCTTAGACATAATCAGACACCTTGCAGAATAGGTTTTCTGGGCTTGAAGGCATAAGACCATAGTTCATAAAGTTTATGTTCTACATCACGGTTTGGTGAGTAGTGTCTGGAGTCTTAAAAGTTTGTGAGTGGCCATCTAAGATAGAACTGTTGGTCTCTACTTGTCTGGAGCAAAAGAGAAGTAAGGAAACCAAAGACTCAGAAGAAAGTACTCTACAGGACTAACAGTCTACACAAACCATGGCCTCATCTACCCTGAGACCAGAAGAACTAGATGGTGCCCAGCTACCACTACCAGCCATTCTTATCAGGGCTACAATAGATAGACCCTGATAGAATGGGAGAAAAATGTAATACAAAACTCAGATTCTTAAAAAGTCCAGATTTACTGGGCCAGTTGAGATTAGAGGCCTTTCCCAGATTGTCGCCCTGAGATACTCTTTAAACCTTGAACTGAAACTATCTCCTGAGGTCTTTTAGCTAAATAACAGATTGGCTCATAAAATAAAGAAAATTACCCGTGAGTACTGCACTCCTTTAAAAAATCATCTATATGAATTGAAACAGTCAACAGTTATTCTAAAGCAAAGATGACACTGTAACAGGGCAAGGAAACTAGATTACTGGAGAGAAAACAACCAGAATGGAAATAATGAGAATGTTGACACATTGTGAAAAATGTAACCAATGTCACTGAATAATTGGTGTAGAAATTGTTAAATGGGAACCTAATTTGGTGTGTAAACTTTCACTGAAAACACAATGGAATAATATTTAAAAGAAAAGAAAAGATAAATATTCCTATTTACATAGTTTTGTGTTTTACAAATGAGGCTATCTTTAAAACTTTTTGTAAATTTTAAATAAATATAGCTATACCATAGTCCTTTAAAGTTTTAAAAATCCCACACGCTTTTGTATTTCATTAGCAACTAAGTCACTAAGTAAAATGGATTTCCAACAATTTTCATGGTGCTTGCTGGTGTTCATTAAATAACTTCAAGAGTTTAACATGTTTCTGTTTTCTGCTGTTTTTACTTCTTTATTTCCATTCAGTATGGGTACGTCACTAATTTATTTTTTTCACATGTATAAGAGCCACAGTTGTTGACCACCTAAGAATTAAATGAGTGGCCATTCTGTTTTGTATTGTGATATACAGTGGGTTTTAGTCTGTGTTTATCTTGCAGAGCTCTTCTACTCTTTTGTTCTTTATCTGGAATAAAGTGATATCAAAATGCTTAATATAAATTCTTGGCTGTTTATTTCAGGGATACAGCAGGCCAGGAGCGATTTCACACCATCACAACCTCCTACTACAGAGGAGCAATGGGTATTATGCTAGTATATGACATCACCAATGGTAAAAGTTTTGAAAACATCAGCAAATGGCTTAGAAACATAGATGAGGTAAGACCAAGAAATTGTATAAACCCTTCATGAACCCACAGTTGTGTGCCTGGTTGGGAAGAATAAGTATTTTAACGGATATTTAGGATATAATGTATCATTATTATTATTGAAGTAGTCTTATTGAGATATTTATACTTTTAAAGCTTAATGTTCCTCTTGGCCTATCTTTTTCTTAAACATTTTGGCAGGTCTGTGTTGAACCCTGTCCAAGGAAATTACTAAATAACACCATAACTCTATGCAACCGTCTTATAAGATGGCCCCAAATAGTAGTTACCAGTGGTTTTACACTGCCTCTCTCTAAATTCTAAATGGATTCTTTCTCCGTTGATTTTTATTGAATAAATTTTTTTCATAGTAATTTCAAAACTTATTTTTTAAGTTATAGAAATGTGATATTACTTCTAGACATTTTGAAAGAGTATACTAGTAAGGTAAAAATCTAACCAAGATAATTGTGCTATATTATTGCATGTGAAGATGTCAGTTTTCATAAGGCAAAGTAGTGTGTCAAAGCATGTCTGTGCAACAGCATAGGTGGCTTCTTGTTGGAATTATTATTCATGCCTTATTGCTGCCTTCTAGGCTTTGAAAATAAGACCAACTATTTAAAGCAGGTTTTGACTGGATACAAAGACTGAGTCTTAAGCCCATATTAGATTCAAGAATAATATCTTCAGTGGCAGCAATCCTAAGGGTTCATTGCTGTATCTTCAGGGGGGTGTGTGTTTTTATTTTTTAATGATTAAAGATACACAGATCTTGGGTGGGCAGGGGGAGGCCTCTGTTTTGAATTTCCTTAGCATTTATTTTATAGTTTGACCAGAGAGCATGTTTAATAAGAACAGTTTATTCCAAAACTTGTTCACTTTATTTGGTAGCCTGGATAGCTTAAGTTTCCCAACACCAGCTGAGATACTTTTTTTTCTGACATACAAGGTTGGCTTTACTTAATTTTTATTTTGTTACAGAGATAAAACTTTAACCAAATGAAACTGAATATATAAAAAAAGAAGTAACATATAAAAAGACTATATACCATGTCCAGGTGGGATTTATCCCAGAAAATGCAAGGCTGGTTAAACATATGAAATCAACAATGTAATACACTATGTTAATAGAATGAAGGATAAAAACCACATGATCGTCTCAATAGACATAGAGAAAGCATTGACAAAATCCAGTACCCTTTCATGATAAAAACATTGAACAAACTAGGAATAGAAGGGAACTTCCTCAACCTAATAATGAACAGCTACAAAAATCCCACAGCTGAAATCACATTTAATAGTGAAAAACTGAAAATTTGTCCTCTAAGATCAGGGACATGACAAGGATGTCTGCTCTGTCACTTCAGTCAATGTTGTACTGGAGGTTCTAGCTGGGGCAGTCAGGCAAGGGAGGAAAAGGCATCTAGATTGGAAAGTTAAAACTATTTCAGTTTGCAGATGATGTGATTTTGTATATAGAAAATCCTAAGGAATTCACACACGCACACACACAAACCTATCAGAAGTAATAAATGAGTTCAGTGATGTTGCAGGAAACAAGATCAATATACAAATATCAGTTATATTTCTGTACACTAGCAATGAACAATCCGAAAGTACAATTAAGAAAACAGTTTCATTTGCAATAGCATCAAAAAGAATAAAATACTTAGGAATAAATTTAACAAAAGGGTGTAAGACTTTGTGCGCTGAAAACCAGAAAACATCATTGAAAGAAATTAAAGAAGACCTACGAAATTGGAAAGACATCCCATGTTCATGAATTGGAAGACTTAATATTATTACGTTGGCGGTACTACCCAAAGCAATCTACAGATTAATGCAATCCCTATTAAAATCCCAGCCGCCTTTTTTTTTTTTTTTTTGCAGAAATTAACAAGCTGATCCTAAAATTCATACAGGAATTCAAGGGAGCCAGAATAGTCAATACAGTGTTAAAAAAGAGAACAGAGTTGGAGGACTGACATATCCCAATTTTGAAACTTAACTACAAAGCTACAGTAAATGAGACAGTGTGGTACTGGCGTATTCATACATCAGTGGAATAGAATTGAGAATCCAGAAATAAACCCTTACAGTTTTGGTCAGCTGACTTTTGACAGGGGTGCCAGGACAATTCAAGGGGAAAGATTAGTATTTTCAACAGATGGTACTGGGACAACTGGATATCGCCATGCAAAAGAATAAAGTTGGAACCCTACCTCATACCATACACAAAAATTAATTCAAAATGGATCATACCCATAAATGTAAGAGCTAAAACTATAAAACTCTTGGAAGAAAATCTAGGAGTAAATCTTCTTGACCTTGGAACAGGCAATGATTTCTTAGTTATGACACCAAAACACAAGAAAGAAAAGGAGAATTAGATAAATTATTCCATCAAAATCAGGAACTTTGTGCTTCAAAGGACACCATCAAGAAAGTGAAAAGACAACTCAGAATGGAAGAAAATATTAATAAACATGTATCTGATAAGGAACTTGCGTATGTAAAATATACAGATAATTCCTAGAACTTAACAATAAAAAGACATAACCCAGTTAAAAATTGGGTAAAGGATCTGAATAGACATTTCTCCCAAAAAGGTATACAAATGACTAGTAAGCACGTGAAGAAATTTTCAACATCACTAGTCATTAGGGAAAGACAAATCTACAATGAGAAAACACCTCATATGCACTAGAATGGATATAATAAAAAAGGTGGACAAAAGCAGAACAACAACAAAAAAAGTGGACAGTAACTGATGAAGATGTGGAGAAGTTGATACTCTTAAACACTGCTGGTGGTGGTAATTAAACTGATTATGCTGCTTTGGAAAACAATCTGGCAGTTCCTCAAAAGGTTAAACATAGAGGCAGTTTACTGTATAACCCAACAGTTCCACTCGTGGTGTATACCAAAGAAAAATGAAAACATATGTCCACTGAAAAACTTGTACACGAATGTTCACAGTAGCATTATTCATAATAGCCAAAAAGGTGGAAACAACCCAGAGGTCCGTCAACTGATGGGTGGATAAATGCAATGTGATTTACCCATACAGTGGAATGTTACTCAGCAATAAAAAGGAATGAAGTACTAATACATGCTGCAACATGGACAGGTCTTGAAAACATGAAAGAAGCCAGACACAAAAGACTGTATATTGTATCATTCCCTTTATATGAAACATCCATAATAGGCAAGTGCGTAGAGACTGAAAGTAGATTTTAATAGTTGCCTAGGGCTATGGACATAGGTGGGGAGAAAGGGGAGTGACTGCTAATGGGTATGAGTTTTTTGGGGGCGTAATGAAAATATTCTGAAATTAGACAGTGATGGCAGTTGCACTGCGTTGTGAATATAAAAAAAAATACTGAATTGTGTATTTTAAGAGTGGATTTATTGTATATGAATTATATGTCAACAAAGCTGTTATTTTAAAAAATCTATATTGAGCTTTAATACCTTGCATTATAATTATTTCTTTAGCAAAAGGAGAAAAGTACAAGTTTTCTTTGCTTTGGAATAATGGAAAGAGTTGAGGAGAAGTCACAGCAGCTGAGTTACAATCCTAGTCCTGCTGTTTTCAGTAGTGTGATCTTGCTTAATCTCTTAATTCTGTTTTTTCTAAAGTGTGTTCTACATTGTAGTATTATTTGGCATAAAGAGTTCTATGGAGAAATAAGTTAAACAGATCTCTTTATTGTGGGCCTTTTGAGTCTTCCATATGCTCTAGTGTATGGTGAATGTTTAAGAAGGAAGTTATAGTAAGTAGTTTTTTTTGTTTTTGTTTTTGTTTTATAGTAAGTAGTTTTTGCCAAACTTGGTTACATGGTTCACAGTGAGAGTTTGTATCAAGGAACATATCTTGGAATCAGTGTTTTATTCATTATACTTGGGAAACATTGCTCTAAACCAGTCGGCAGCAGCATCATCCCTTGGGAATTTGAGAAATGCAAATTCTCATGCCCTATCCCAGACCTTCTGAATTAGGTGAGGGCCCAGCAATCTGTGTTTTAAGAAGCTATCTGGGTGATTCTGATGCTCACAAAAGTTTGAGAACCATTGCTCTGAACTTTAATTTCCTCATCTTTAATGCCTTACAGGGCAGTAATATATATAACTGCATGGGAGACCCACAGTGCTCACATGACCAAAACAGTTTTGTTTTTTCATTATATCAGGGGATCTTGATTGACCTATGATGGTGTCATGGATAAGGTAGATTTCCAAACCAAACAACTTAAGATATTTTCATGTCTTATTTGTTAAGATTTCATGAAATAAGTTTTTTCAAATTACTGTTTTATTTTAGACAGCTTTACTTCCTTGCACTTCCTTCTGATAAAAGTGCAATAAAACAGCCAGAGGAATGGTAGGAGTAATGCGCTTCACAGTCACCTGGTCAACGTAAAATTAATTCACAGTGGAGTAGGGGTTTTTTTCATGGGTATATTATAAATTATTATATTTGAATGATCCAGTGAAAAAAATTAATGTTTAAAAGCATGTTGAAGATATATGCCATCCTGTCACTTACCTCTTGCTTGTTTCAAATACATGTGTACATATAGTAGAACGAAGGACCAAATCTAAGTAAAGGTGCTCTTTCGGTGAGGTCAGTGATCTAGATCCTTGCTCTGCAAAGAGTTTGGTAGACTCAGCAGCATCAGCATTTTCAGGGATTTTGTTAGAAATAAGAATCTGAAACCCCACTCTAGACCTATTTGAATTAGAATTTGCATTTTGACAAGATGTCCAGGTGACTAATATGTACATTAAAGTTTGAGAAGGACTGCTTTGGATGAAAGGTTTTTCCATGGCCTGCAGAGTTTAGGATTCCTTCAAGATCCTCCAACAATCTCCTTGATGATGAGGCTAAGATTGAACAGACAGGGTAGGGGTTTGATTCCCCTACCTTCTCTTCAATCAGCCATCTCCTTTGGTTTGTTTTATATATTAGCGTTTCAAGTAGGATTTTTTGTCTGGGGCAGAGGG